TTGGAAATCTCTTCTGACACATATAGGGGGGTCATACAATTTGTGATTACTGACTTTCTAAGTATAAATGTATAAATTATATATATATATATATGTTTGGGACAAATATATTGACTCTCGACTAATAAAATGTAAACAGACCATAATCATACAAAATATGTACATCTTGTACATGAACTGTGTACTGACCAAGGACATACACTAACAATAGCATTTATGATTTTGACTTCATGCTGATTATACTGGATATTGTGATTTTACTGACTACAGTGACTTACTGTACATTATGTATTAACGGAGACAAGCACCTCAGGAGAGTTTAAGACACTATAGTGGCCCATAGGTATGAGTGTGTGTGTGTTTGTGTGTGTGTGTGTGTGTGTGTGTGTGTGTGTGTATCCATATCGGCCATGTAATAACCTGTCAAGGATATCCTGCTGACCTCCACCATACGCTACATGCTGGGACAGCTTCAAGCGAAATTTGACAATACCACTTTATATCTACTGACTATACTTACTATTTAAGGATTAATTACAATTTGACTGAATATTCCACTGGGTATACTAACTATGATGACTCACTGTAAAAGGACAATACCAGCATTTTGCATTGTTTATCCCCGACCATCCATTCATTTCCCACTTTGGAATTAAAAATCAATTTGCAGAGACTTAAGGCCATAGTTCTCAACCTTATTCTTTTGTCTTTTTAAACCCTTAAAATAAAAATATTGTAACTTAGAGTGAACATGTCTTGTGAGTGATTCAACCAAATTGCACCATTTATTTCTTCTTAGATTGCTGCATTTCCAAAGACCCGAGGATGTTAGTGTCCAGAATTTCTCAAGAAAAAAAGCAAACGTCAGAATCCCCCCCCCCCAACACACACACACACATTTATTTTGGGATCCTCTTGCTTGAGACTGCATTCCCAACTCCTCTAACTGCATATCAAATCAACTATAATTCACTTTCAACTACAGTAAAAGCAGATATGATATTGCCTGACATTGATTGCCTGACTGAAGCAAATGTAAAGCCTCTGCAAACAGATTTTCCATATCCATAGTGAAACAAAACCAGTGATGGCTTCATGGAAGATTGGAAAACATAAACAATTCTAAAATAATGCAGCATGAAAAGGGAAAATTGTTAAAAGTGATGTAAGGATATACAGCTTTTAAGACACCATGGTCCTTCAAGCAGCACTGCATTACTCTCCATTATCCAGCAGCAGCAGCAGCAGCCATAATGCACGTTCTTATACACCACTGCATTAATGACACAGCTGCAGGGGAGGAAGCTGCTGCTGCGTTTTTACTCCTCATCCCACATGAGTACATAATCCTGTCAGCTCCAGAAACATCATGTCATGTAGAATTTTTTTTCTTTTATCTTTAATTTGGTTGCTGCAGATGAGCATCTGTTCTGCTCAAAGGCTCTCAGGCAGAGGAGAGGAGGTGGACCCATCTGCAGCCTCATTAACTGCTGAAATGCTAATGACCCAGATATCTCATGTAGGCTAAAATGCAGAGGGGGGGGGGGGGGGGGGGGGCTGCCTTTGTGGGGGTCGGGCGTTTGTGTTAGTGCCTATATTAAACATTTCTACAATAGACAAGCACTTAAACAGAAAATCTTAGATGACTTAAATGATAACATAATGCGTTGTTCTGTGAGCCCACGACATTAGGCGACATCATAGTAAATAATAGCCTATAGGCTAAAAAATAATAAGGTTTAAGTGTTATATAATTTAACACCATAACCGCCATCATACACCATGGACTATCAGAAATATTACAGATGCATTTTATGTGGTAGTATCTGTGTTGGGATCCTGGGTGCTCATATTTCAGAAAGAGACAAAAATAAGAAGTTCCGCAGAGCACGACAGCCCGCTGCGGCTGTTTCAGAGGCAGATTTAGCGCAGATGAAAGGTTAAAGGAGCTGTTGGAGGTTTAAAAAACGCAAGGCCTAAAACAATTTTTGGATTAAAATGAATAAAAGTTGTAGCCTACATACACATGCAGAAAAACCGAACAACAATACCTTTAAGCGGCAGGGTGCAGAATAAATGGCGCAGCTTTCGATTTTTTTTTTTTTTCATTTTTTTTTCAATTTTTTTTTTTTTACCGTCAGCGCACATTTACTAAGCTTTGAACCCAGAAAAGCAGCTCAGACCTCTATAAGACACACCGATGCAGGAGGTTCTGTTCGTCCGGTGATAGAACGCTTTCAACCGGCTTGATTTGCGTGCGTCGCCCAGTCCGCGATGCTTTCCTCTGGAGGTCCATACGGGGATGCTGAGGCTGCGGAGGAAGCGGGGGGATGCTGCGGAGGTCGGACCGTCCTTCTTCTGCAAGATTTTTCTTTTCTCAAGAGAAAACTCTTCAACCACAAATAGTCCAAACCCAGAAGAGTGACGGAGCAAAGCAACATCCTAAACTCTCGAAATTCAGGTTTTGTGTGTGCAGGGTGCAGTCAGGAGGTGGATACAGTAGCTGAATGGAAGGATGGATGAGAGAAGTTGGGCGCAGTCAGAGGGAGAGAGGAGAAAGGGAGGGGGTGGTCCTCTGAAAGAGAGGGAGTCAGATGAAGCCAGGTTTTTACATCCTCAGCTCCAGCTTCCAGCTCTGTCCTCCCTCTGCTTTTCATCCTCTTCTGAGGATGGAGGGAGGAAAGAAAGAGGGAGAGCATCTGCCTCCCCAAACAAACCAAGTGACACAATCCATCTGACGCTGAACTAAACTGTCACTAATATGGTATCTTAATCTAAATGGTTTTAAGAAACAACACATTCAAAAAAGTAAAAAATACACCCCCAAAACCTACATTAGAAAATGTTTGTGGATCCCTGAACATTACCAATGTAGGCTAATTGTAAAACATCTCAATCTGTCGCTATAACTGCCTCCAATCTTCTGATTCCAGACTTTCCACCAGAGGTAGGAACCTGGCTGCTCCCATTCAGCCACATCAGTGAGGTTGTCTCTGATGTGGGAAGATAAGGACTGGCTCGCAGTCGGCTTTCCAGTTAATCCAAAAGGTGTCAGATGTGGTTGAGGTCATGGCAGGCCAGTCAGATTCCTCTACACCGAAGTGAGAAAACCATTTCTTTATGCTGGCTTTTAGGGGAATTGTCATGTTGAAGCAGGAAATTGGTCATCCGTAAACTGTTGTCACAAAGTTGGAAACACAATATAGAAAATGTCTAAAATGTCACGAGGTAGCGTTAGATTTCTCTTTATTGGAACAAAGGAGCCAAAATAAAATCACAAGAAACCTTATCAAAAACAAACACAAAAGGTGAATAGAAGTGTTCACAAAGCTTGTCCATATAGCCTTTGTCCTTATTCCTCTCTCTTGTCTCGCTTATTGGATATCAGGACTCAATGCTTATTTGTGTTCTTACTTGGTAAATCTATAATAAAGATTGATTTCAATTCAATAATTTAGTACAGAGGCTAAGATAGCTTAGCACCAACACTGGAGTATGGCTAGCCTAACCTAACCTTCATCAAACAACTAAAAGCCGTCTTGTTTACATGTTGTATCTCAACACTTGTGTACTTACTACAACTAATTTGTTAAAGCGGTTTACGAAAATTAGCCTTAACATTACTGCTGTTTCACTCTTTTCCCCCTGTTGTCAGTCTGCTAAGCTAGGCTTTGGGACAATCGACATTTGATCAGTTTTGTCATTTAGGTATGAGGATGTGTTGAACAATTGGTATCCAATAAAACATTTCTGTGTCTGATTTTAACCTGCATGTATCCCCATCTTCCCTACAACTCCAATTCGTCTTTTGGTGGAATGTGAAATTGTGCACCAGCCTCCTGAATTATAGATGAATCTCACCTTCACAGGGACAATCAGATGCTGAAATGAATATTTTTCTGACATAAGCAGCATTCCTCCTGGATTCTTCCTTTTGGCTCGTCATTTGCCTCCCCACCCCTCAGCGTACTGGGAACCAGTAGACTGATGGGGGGGCTGTTGTGCACTCATTTGACGAAACCATTACAACCACAAACCATGAAATAATCAGTGGCTTCCATCTTGGAGGCTAATTTTCTTCAACCAGCCACATACACGCTTTACTAGTTAGAGTCTAAACAATGAAATTGGATCATTTGAGTGTAGTTGTTTCCATTTGTAGAACTTCTAATGTAAATGTGATGCACATTTAAACAAATATATAAATACATACTGACAATTGTGACATTGTATATTCATATCACATATTGTTAATTCCTGCATTTATTCTGCTGTTATATATTGTTCAATTTTATAATACTATGATGTAAAGGTTGCATTATATTTGATTACTACTTTATTATGTTCTTATTTACATTATTTATGCTATATTCCACTATATTTATACTTTTGCTGCTACATTTCAATTTTACCATAAGCTGATGTGGTTTCATCCTTTTTAATAGGCTATAATGTTGTTCTGGTTTATTCTGTATGAGTTTGAAATACAAACCTTTATGCATATATATTCCCTAATTAAAGCCCCTTTCTGCTACATTGATCATGGTTAACATCTAGAAGGATGTGTCAAAAAGCGAGAAGGAAACAGGAGGAACTTGGTGTTGATTGCAAAAAAACAGGTTCACAAAATCATAGGTTCACAATCATAAGTGTCCATGCACCTCTATCCATGTTGCTGTGTGTATACAGTTCACATCACTTTATTTTACAATCTGCCTGCCACATTGTTTTATATTTGAATGTTTTGGTGCAGTCCAAATGCATGAAAATAATGGACGAGATAAAACGTTGCTTTTTAAATTAAATAACGGTGCAAATGTGGTTTAATAAAGTTATGCTTTATTATGAGACTAACTGGCAATTAAATATGGGTCAGAGAATAGTGTCTCAAACTTATGATAAAATTATTGTGACAAAGATTGTAAGTCACTAAACATCTCTGAGACACTGAAGAATCAGCTTCCCATGTAGTACAACATTGATCAAATTAAAGCTAAATCATTTTTTATAAACTCATTCCAAAACTCTTGCTAAGTCTGTAAATGATGGACTACTAACAGAGTGGGGGAAAGGCGCAGCAAATGGGTCTATAAACAAAAACACATTCCAATTTAAAGATCAATGCACAACCACATGTAGCACCAATATAACAGTGACACCTTAACACAAATTAAGCTCACACTCCTGTTTTCTGTAATAGAAATGCGTTTTTTCGACTATGCAAAACTCCATTCAATGTTTTAATAAACAGTTCTTGTTTTACTTATTAGTTATGTTATATAAATTCAAAGTGTATGTTTAAACTACTTGAAGAAATGAGAGGTTCTCTGTTAAATTCGGCGCGTATGTGATGTCAATTACAGTGGAAAGAACAAATAAAAAGTTATCAATTTCTCCACATAGCCTAATTACAGCTTAATTTTGCCATCTTCTGTGCAAAAATGCACATTTGGTTTTCAGTGACAAGAGTCTTATATCATGTTATAACTATTTATCGTGCATCTGTAACGTTAGGCATGCCGTTAGTTTGTGGTCAGAGTTAAGTAACATGACATTACACAAGCCTGTGTGTTAAAGTTAGGTAAGATCGCTGTTAAAGCTAAGGTCAGCTAACTGAGCTAGCCTCAGTGTGCACTGTGCAGCAGTGAGTTAGTATCGGTGCTGCTGTAAGTTCAATGGTCTCATCCTCCAGGCTCTGTCTGGTTTGGCGTCATTTTGTCAACAGCAGAATGGGAGACATGGCTTTTAAAGCGCAGTTGCCGACACCGGAGACAGCACTGCCCGGCCGGACTGACAGCATCAAAGTCTCCGGTAAGACTGACCGGACTGCCTTTAGCATGCTAACGTTAGCTTAAGCAGCTAAATTATCTAACTTTACGGCACAACCACGTTAGATAGCGAACCGATATAAACAAATTGCTGGTTTCTTTTGTGTTCTGGTTATCTTTTGCTAACGTCTGTGTTACTGCCTTCCTTACACGACAAAACCAAATTAAGTTATAACGATGTAAACAAGTTAAGTAACTGTGAATTTAGCCGTTAGCACCTGCTGTTACTATCACACTAGCAAGCTGCTACTGCGCATGCGCGTTTGCCTCTTGAGCGTTGTATGGATATTGACAAATACATTATATTTAGGACGTTGATGTTTAAAACGGCAAAAATTGACATTGTCATATCATCACAACACATTTTCTTTGAAAGTCTGTAAAGAAAGTAATAATCATTGCTTGGCCCTGACTGGATAAAGATACTGGCAATAAATATCAGCCATTAGCAGTTTCAAATCATAAACATCAATATTGCCTGTTTAATAATCCATACATCTGTTGATTTATTTATTTCTTCTAAATGATCATTGTCACTATAACTTTTAAATGTCCTAAACAAAAGTGTGTGTGTGTTTTTTGTGTGTATAAACGGACTGACACCAGCAGTCAGGGTAGTTGGCACCAACCTGCCCCCTCTTCACTACAAGTGAGGGCGCTGAGTTTTGGCACATGATGAATAGATTCTGCACTGGCACTGAACAAAAGAGACACACACACATAAACACTCACTCACTATTCCCTTTAACATTAAGAAAGAGAAAGATGACAGTAATAAGTAGGAAGTGTAAAGGTTGTGTGGAGAAGATTATTGACTTGGTGGTATTTGGGTTCAGTGTTTAAGAGACCGAGAGAAATGATATGATGGGAGGAGTACAGAGTCGAATGTTTGAGTGATTTTAAATTAATGTTTTTAATTTAGTTTGGATTTATTTACCCAAACTGTGTTTGGTTTTTTAGTGGGGTGGACTGGAGGGGGTTGGACGGGGGAAGGAGGATGTGGGAGTGGAGGGGTTAGGAGGGCGGGGGTCCACTGCGAAATGACGATTGGGATGGATGGATGGATGGAAGGGTTCAGACGGCGTGGCAGACATGCTGGAGTGTCGCCAAAGCTTCTCGGGAACGCTGCCACAATCGAGAGAGACGAAGAAAGAGCGAGGGAGCAGAGAGGGAAGGAAAAGCCATGCCTGCAGTGGAGAGACTTGGCAGGGCTTCCCTTCCTTTGTCTGTCTGGCTCAGGGCTGCAGCGCCAGAGGAAATCAAGAAATGTCCAGGCGTGGTGGTGGTGGCAGCGGTGGTGGATGGGGACAAGCTCTGCCTCGGCTCCGAAAAGACGATAGAGAAAAAGTACTTTCAAACGTCTGAAAACTCAGCTTCTGAAAGAGCTATGGAAACCAAAAAAACAAACAATCGATTTTCTCTTTTTGAACGATATTCCGCATTGGAGCCGTTGGACCCGACGTGGTTTCGGAGACAATGTGTAACTCAACCACAATTTCCGATAAGTCTACCTGTAGCTTTAATGGCAATAAAGTAGTAGAATTTGTATGTTTTTGAAAAGCCAAACAAGGACGGACTTCAAAGAGTCTACAAGTAACCAGAGGAAGGCCAACTTCTCGCCAAGCAAGAGGTTTGTGTATGAATGCTTGTTGGGTTTTAAAATTTCTTTGACCAAATCAATTGGGTTATTGTTCAAGTGTTTAGGGGAAAATGGTTTCATGTCAGTTAAAGGGCGAAATCTTAAATTATGAGTTAAAATGCAAAGAGATGATGGGTCTCTTTTGTTCATGCGATGACTTGTTTTTCCTGGAAACTAACCCAGAGGATACGAAGCAGGCCAAGCTGGGCCAGAAGCCTTAACTAATGACAAAGCAGGAGTTTTCATATTATTTTACTTCTTGAATATCTTTACGCAGTTGACTTTGTTAAAATTGAAGTGGAGTGTACATAGAACAGGATGATAGATGGGAGTTCATTTTTGACCTTGGATACAGTTGTTGACAAAACAATCTATCGTCTTACAATTCAATTAAATTCAAATTAGCTTTATTAGCATGAATGTGTAACAACAACATTGCCAAAGCATCATACATACAATCTAATCGTTTCCCATGATCTCTAGCAGCTGATGGAGTTTGCCAAGTTGTAATGGCAGATGTTCAGATTTCCACTTAACATCTTACTGAAAAGCAATGTTTTGTTGCCCTCTTGGGTTGTAAGAATTCAAGCCTGCCTGACCACACCTTATGGCCCACTGATGACTCATTTGCACCTGTAACCACACCCACCAGTGATGTCACAAGGGCCTTCAGGTACACCAGGGCTGTGTTCAGCGCAGACAAAATGTTTTTTTCAAGGAAACGGTGGTTTCCTGAACACCCGGCTGTGTACGCAAGCGCACAGAATTTTCCTGCCTTTTTAACACCGTTAGCAAACTTGTCGCAGCTGATTGGGGAACACCTGAGATACACCCACCAAACGGGGGAAAACATACCTCGAAGCCTGATGCAGAACGTTGCGCAACGTTGCAAGGAAACATGTTGTTCAATCCGAAAATGTTGCAAACCGGTGAAAAACGTTTTTAGATTGAACTCGCCCCTGTACATCATTGCAGGAAGGTGAAAAGAAAAACCACTGGTTGTGTTACGTTACTTTTTAAGGAGTTCTCTTCCGTGTTGGCTAAAAAGTTGAGAATGAAAGTTAATTCTTGAGTTTAGAAACAGAGATTGAAAAATGTAATCCCACCACAAGGTCCTTTTTAGTAGCTGTTCTGGAGCTTTTGATAGATCATATATCATAGTATTGTAAATAATGGATTTAAAGTATTAATCTATATGTGATATCCTGTGACAACATTTAGATATGTAATTTAATAGTTTGCTACTTTTAAAATGCTAAATCATAGTCATCATCATAGTAAATAACAGTCTGAATATTGGTGATGGCGGTGGTGATAAAAGACAGAAATGTTTTGAAAATTGATTATAAAAAGATGCTTTCAACTACAGCTTTAACTAAAGATTATGAGAGTAATGAAAACATTATCATGTTGTCCATAAAATGTTGGGAAATATATAAATATAAAATAGTGAAAAATGTCCATCATAAGCGTCCAGAGTGGAAGGTGCTTTTTTTCCACATTTTTAGCCTCCTTTCATCCGACCAACAGTTCAAAACACGTTCAGTTTGCTGTCATATCTAAAAATAAATAAAGCCTCACATTTGAGATGCCATGCAACATGCAAATCTTTGGCGTTTGTACTTGGAAAAACTTTAATCTATTATCAAAATAGTCTCTAATTAATTTTATTTTGACCAAAACAATCAAATCATCTTCAGATCATTTCAGCGTTGCCTTGTTCACCTTCAGATTCCCAAACTGTCTGAACTTCCATCACCAGTAACCTGCAATGAAGTGGTTGTTGTTGCTATTTCTTATATAAGATTCGGTAATGAAACACAAAACAGAGTTTAAATACAAAGTAGATTGCATCTTCATTAATGTAAATAAAGAGTAGATGTCCATTTACAAGCCTTATTTGCCTTCAATAATGAAATAACTGCAGAATAATGTCATAATTGATTTTGTTTATATTAAGAGTGATTTCAAGTCTAAAGCCTGGGTTGTACCCCTTTTTGGTAGTATTGAAGCGTTTAAAAATTACTTTTCATCTCTTAATTAATTTGGTTCCTGTTTTACAGTTTGGTAATACAAGAAAACACACCTCTCTTTCATTTTAAGACATTCAGCCGCCGTCAAACTCACAGAGAACTACAACAACAGTTCTGATTGGCCTCTTGCTACTTATCCCTCATAAGGGATAAATACAAATCATTGTGTTGTACAAAACTTTTTAGTTACAGCGGGTTTCGTGTTTGGGGTCAGAGGTCAACAGCTGAATACTTATCTGGCATTAACACTCCTAGTTGACTTACCACTAAGATTTTACTCCACCCTGTAAACCCCTCCATATCCACACACAGATGGGGAAAAAGTGAAAAGAAAAGCCTAATGAAGAAGTTAACGTCATCCTCATCAAAGCTTAATGCAGATGCGTTCAGACATCCAGCAGCTGGTCTTTTAATTAGCAGGTGTAAATCATTATTATTGCAGCTTGCTGTTGTGGAACATGTAATTTTTTACAGGGAATATTTCCAGGGATTGTTTTCGGTTGACATAATTATCAGGAGTGATATTATGCTAATAAGGCTGGGATTTCAAGATGTCATGTTTATTTAAAAAAACTTCTTGGCACCCCTCGCTGTGAGCTGTCGAAGCCAAAAAAAAACAAAACTTTAGCCAGCTGTTTTAATATGCTCTCCATATGAACAGCCCGCAGCAGCTCCAGCTGCAGTTCAAGTAACAATTACTTTACTGAGCTTCAGCTGGGAAAGATAAAATAACTTAATTAATGTTTTCAAGTGGACATACTCATTTCTCTGTTTTGCTTCTGCACCTCAGAAGCAGAGAAAAAGTAAGTGTTTACTACAATAAACAAAAAAGGACTAGTGGTTAAATGAATAATCTATTAATTCTGATAATTAACTTTGGAGTAAGTTAGTAAAACAAAATAGCAATCATTTGCTTGTTACAGCTTCTTAAATGTGGGCATTTTCTGCTTTTTCTTTAAAACATATTGTACATAAAACTAAAGGATTAATCGGTTGAGTGAAACATTAATTTCTACGTTAACGACATTGGAAATAATAATAGTTGTACTCTTGTCCAGCAGAAACTGCATGTGATTTGAAAACTCATGAAACTTACTTTTGCCTGAAACATGGCAAGATAGGTAACTGGTTAGGTAACGTGCAACCAGCACCTTACAAAATCACATTTACTTTTACAGTAGTATTTGCAAAAAAGACTATTAAGCAGCTGTTCTGGAGCTTTTGATTACATCACATGATTGTCTTGTCAATGAATTATAGGTGTCCATATTTTTTTATAGCCTACTTTTGTGGTAACTCGACAAAATGTTG